TCGAGCTCGTCGCCGTCGGGCCGGTGGTGCCGGACGAGGCATCTCCGTCGAGGTCGGACCTGTTCCGGCGCGACGACGGGAAGGGGTACATGGAGTGGCTGGACACGAAGCCGGCACGGTCCGTGGTGTACGTCTCGTTCGGGAGCTTCCTTTCGATGAGCGAGCGGCAGGCGGAGGAGACGAGGCGCGGCCTGGAGGCGACCGGCCGGCCGTACCTGTGGGTGGCGCGCAAGGGTGCCGGTGAATGCGCGACTTTGGACGGCGGCGACGACGACAACGGAGTGCGCGCGCAAGGGGTGGTGGTGGAGTGGTGCGACCAGGTGAAGGTGCTGTCGCACCCGGCGGTGGGCTGCTTCGTGACGCACTGCGGGTGGAACTCGACGCTGGAGAGCGTCACGAGCGGCGTGCCGATGGTGGCCGTGCCGCAGTGGACGGACCAGCCGACGGTGGCGTGGCTGGTGGAGGCGCGCATGGGCGTTGGCGTGCGCGCCCGGGCGGACGACGAGGGCGCGGTGGACCGAGGCGAGCTGCAGCGGTGCGTGGAGACGATCATGGGCGACGGGGAGGCCGCGTTGGGGATCCGGGCTCAGGCGGACCTCTGGAGGGGCCGGGCCGAGGAAGCGATCGCCGGCGGCGGGACGTCGGAGAGGAACTTACGGGCGTTCGCGTCGGAGCTGTGCTCTGACGTGAACGGCACACGGGGAGACGGGGTCAGAGCGGCAGCGACGTGCACGTGAGACGTGACATGAGCCGTGCCCCTTTTCGATCTGCGCATTGGGCGCGTCGAGAGAAATTTGGTCTGCATCGCACCAATGGCGGCATGGCGTCACGATCGGTGACACTTGTACTAGTATGGTCTACATGTTTGTTTAGGGGAGCTAGTGATCATCGATCTGCTGGCATGTGCAGATCTGCTGGAGAAAAATGATGTCCTGAACACTTATTTAAACCAAATGGCAATTCATCTTGCTCTCGTAATTGTTTTCTTTAGGTCCGCTGGCAGTGGTAAGAGCATGGTCTGGGTTAATTTGACCTCTCATATGTTCACGGACTTGTCGTAGAACGGAAGGATCAAACCTGTAAACACCCAAAAAAGAAGAGCAAAGACCGGATCCAAACAAATCCATCATAGACCAATACCGACCGGATCCGGCAAGATCCGACGATGCTAGACGCATCATCGGGACATGGATCAAACGTGGGAGACATTATACCTACTAAGAGACATCGAATGAGAGTGGGGTCGCTCCGCCGGCCGGGGGGAGTGGGAGGTCCTTTGCACCTCCATGGCCCAAAGGTCATCGGAGATTGGCGGACTGGCGGTGGCGCCAATGAGAGGAGGAGGAGAGCCAGGGGTCCTTTATTGTGGAGGAGGAAAGAACACATGTGTGTAGGTGCATGCAAAATTCACCCTCCATTTG